ATATATAATAATTACGCATATTGAGATTATTTACCCAATAATGCATGTCGACCGACTTTATTATATATTCGATAATATATAATGTGGGTTCTGATCGATGAATAGTTCGATGAATCGCCAATAGACGGAGCGAACATAACATAATGAAAACCTTCAAGCTCACAATTGTTAGTCCTGTCCATTTATTCCCACAATCACGGTTTTTTTGCATTATCAGTAAACGCGACAGAGACAAGGGGCCGTTTGAGCTAGAGCACTCTATTACGTTTATTCATACAGCCACGGGAGCGTCCCGGTTCTGCATTCCACACACACACACACACACACACACACACACACACACCCGTGGAGCAACTGTTATATATAATCAGTATTATATATAATCAGTATATAAGACACATCAGGCACATGCCGCGCGCGCGCGTGCGTGTGTGTGCCCGTGCGCGCGCGCGCGCGTGTGCGTGTGTGCGTGCGTGCGTGCGTATGTGCGTGCGTGTATGCGTGTGTGCGTGTATGCGTGTGTGCGTTTGTGCGTGCGCGTATATTATCGGCCTATATTACGTACAACAACTTAACCCGTCAGGACTGTGTGTGTTTTCACAATAACTTACAATTGATACGTATCGTTATATCAAGTATGCATCCAGTGTGATAACGCCCATCTTCTATGCTTCTGAAGATTCATTCCAAGTCATTACCATTTTGGATGAAAACTTGATTACACTGATTTATGATGACTGTTCAAGCATCATTATAACGACAATGCCAGTTTATCAAGAAGTAGCTCGTAAGCAGAAAATCATACACACCGCAACGGAGCACCATCACGTGATTGGCCTTTCCTCTTTCGCTTATGTTAACCAAAAGAAGTCGTTAATGATTCTTGCATTTTTTCCAGCATCGTATAAAATACGACTCATCGCGTGTTGGCTGCGGGAAAACACTTAGTTTGGGTGTGCTTTTAATTCGTATATTATTATTTCATAGTATCACCGTCAAATCGTTTCTAATTATGAAATGTTCTCCATTGAAATAATTCGCGTAGTGTGTGCATTTATTCTATAGACCATATGCTACCTGGTAGCACTCCAGCCGGTATCTTAACCTACCTGTCTTAGTGGCGTGATTGACAGGTAGTTCCCGCCAATCAGAGTTGCGACAGAACGTTCTAAAAACACTGCTTGGCAGCGAAGTGCTGCAAGGTCGACAAATTTTGCGTACGCGCGTGGAAACGCGTATATATATATATATAGATCTGGTCTAGCTTGCATTGGTCGTCTATTGGTCGTTTATTGGTCATCCCAGCAAACATATCTGAGTATGTGTGGTCATCCCGCTCCTAGATAACTCGGTTTCGGGAACTTTGCGTCCGTGTTTTGCCTCAAGGTTGCCTCAAGGTCATATTTGCCTCCTGTGCGTCATAGCGCACTGATCTTTTTATGCAATAACAATGGTATTATATACATTAACAGCTCAGTGTCGTGGAGTCTTTAGAAGTACTACTTCTGGAGGAACAAATGCGACACGTTTCGGTAGAAACCCGAACTATTCGCTAAGCGCGAGATATTTGCAGTCACTCTCCCACGGACGCGCGCGGGTTGGGGAGGGGGGTGCATCCAAATAACGATGTGATCATAAATAAACACGAATCACATTTACTGCTAGAGCTTTAATGTTTATGAACACTTACATCACATAATAATTCTACTTAAACGCTGTTCAAATGATCCTTTTCAACGCGCAATGTCACCGCCCGCACTCCCGCTACCCCCCCGGGGGGGGGGGGGGGTACTCACCTTTTTGGGGGTAGGGGTGATCCACCTAGATGAGAAAATTGTGGGAAAATAGATGGCTTGACGGTGAAAACATGGGGCAAAAAGATGGCAAGGGAAAAATTGCGAGGCAAAAAGATGGCAAGGAAATAATTTGGGGGCAAAAAGATGGCAAGGAAAAAGAAAAATGGGGGGGGCAATAATGCGGCGCATATATATATATCAAGAGTAGATAATAAAGATCTCAGATCAGAGATCTAGATAGTAGAGATCTCTATTATCTACTCTTGATATATATATATATATATATATATGTCACTATGCGGAGTACCCCCCCCCCTCCGCGCTCGCACGCCACTGTCAACAGCTACATGAGATATTAGGCTACATGAGAGATGAAGAAAAGAAAGAAGTAAAACAATCTCTGTCACTTGTGTATCTCTGCGCACAGCGGCGAGCGTGTGATGTTGTTGTGATCTTCTGTAGAAGTGTATATTTGAACAGCGTTTAAGTATAATCAAGTATGAGTAGATAATAACACAATTGATAATAATAATAATAATAACACAATAGATAATAAAAGTGTTATTATCTACTCTTGGTATAATGATTATGCCATGTAAAGCACATAAACATGAAAACTTTGGTAATAAATATATTTCTTATTTATGTACGTCGTAGTGGTTCGTTATTGGGGGGGGGGGCCTAAGTATCTGCGCTCCATCCTACACCTTCATATAGACTAACGTACCTTTAGGTGCGCTTCGTACAGCCTATTCTCAACATGTTCTGCCTGCATCTACGACAAATACGACATACGCATATATACGCCTGCCTATGACACTATTTGTCATAGGAAGATTCTTCCTATGACAACTATTGGCGAGTCAACTTCGTTCCGCTTTACAGCTGAAATTCACTGCTAGCGTTCATAATAGCGCTACTAAACTCCTATGATGCGCACAACACATACAACAATATTTGTCATAGGAAGAATCTTCCTATGACAAATACTGTCATAGGAGAGCTTATATATGCGTATGTCGTATTTGTCATAGATGCAAGCTGAACAGGCTGCTATTCTGCTTGATAAACTATAACCCGAGGAGTTAAAGACGACTCTGGCCGCTGTGAGATTATAGCGAGTTATAATTCTTGATAGTGTGAGGTAGTTATTTGTCATATTTCAACATGCGTGCACGCCTGCATTTACTGGCCTCAGGGGAGACTGGCTTGAACAAATTTTACACATAATACGCAGTAACTATGTGCGATCCAGTGTAGCCGCGTTTGATCATCACTATTATGTACCTTCCGTTCCTCTCATGCAAATTACTCAATCGTTACCGATAAACATGTTCTGTAGAAAAAACCTTTTCGATTTGTAACTACATCCTTTGTACAATCTGACAATCATTCGCAACTAAACGTCATTGAAACCACAAGAAAGAAAATATATCTAACACTTGTTTCCGTTCGCATGTAACTAGTACATGTAATGCTAAAAACCGCTCAGTGTTCGCATGTAAGTAGTACATGTAATACTAAAAACCGCTCAGTGTTCGCATGTAACTAGTACATGTAATACTAAAAACCGCTTAGTGTTCGCACGCTACTTCTTATCTACCGCTATACATATAGATATACACACACACGCACACACATACATACATATACATATATAATATACTATATATATATATATATATACAGTGTGTTGTGTGGTGCTTGTGTTTTGTTGTGTGTTGTGTTATGTGTTTGTGTTTTCTTGTTCTGTGGTTCTGTTTTGTTTGTTGTGGGCGCTGCCGCCGTCGCGGTGCGCGTGCGTGGCGCTGTGGGTGTGTCTTGTGGTGTGTGTGTTGTGTGGAGTCCAGTGATGCGTGCGTGCGTGCGTGCTGCGGTGCGTGCGGCGTGTGTGTGTGTGTGTGTGTGTGGTGTGTTTGTTTGTGATGATGTGTGTTAGTGAGTAATATGTTAATAATAAATCATCCGTAATTCATGCATTACACGTAAGTATTATAACACTCCACAGGTAGTAAATAACTAGGGGCCTCTGTTTATCACGACAGTGCATTACCACACATTACCATCAGCTAATTCATTTGGGGCTTTTCACGTTATTCCATCGGCTCCACCACATGACCTCGATTTCATTTCCCAATTACTCAAACTCATCCGCGTGTCAATTGCGCTACTTTCCTATGATATAGAGAACGTTGTTATATATCATCGTGTCGCATGGCACCAAACGCCAAAGCGTTTGATGGAACCCAAGCTGTTTCTAAACAAGACGTCAATTCGTATACGGAAGTGCCGCAACAACGAACATTCCGTATTTGTATTAGAATGCTGCTGAAATCGCCATTATCATTTGCACAAAATGAACGACCCTCGCGTCGCATTAATTATTTAACGATTAATAAAGTTGATGTGTTATTTTAATCGCATTAACCCTAGCAGCGCACTAAACCGGGGTTAACTAGGCCAAATTAATAGCTATATTTCCGACTATTTAACACTAAACCGGAGCTACCTATGCCAAGTTAATAGCTATATTTCCAAATATAAAACACTAAACCGGGGTTAACTAGTCCAAATTAATAGCTATATTTCCGAATATTTATCACTAACCCGGGGTTAACTAGGCCAATTAATAGCTATATTTCCGAATATTTAACGAAACCCTGCACTAGTTTTGTTGAGAATAAAATAATAATAACAAACTATAAGATCCTTGTAATCTCACGACATGCGCTTCCATTATCTATATATCGCAAACGTTTTTTTATGTGATTATCACAAACCGCTTGAATTTCAGCACAACCAGCGTTAAAACGTAAATATTTCACACATACAGAATCCGCATAAGCGAGTCAGTTTTATCATATATATATATATATAAACTGACGATACGTGTCCACCGCATATATATATATATATATATATATATATATATATATATATAATTATGTATATATATAGCTGGTTACACGATATGGCCACAGTTTACAACTCCCTGGTTTCACATTATTTCCGCCTTCGGGGATCGCTTCCGTACGTAGTGAGGAAATGATTCCTGGTCTTGTTCCTGCATGTTCTTTTTGATGAGATTTCCCTCTCTAAGGGATGTCTAGGTCGCGTTGACTCATCAGATTGCGCCGCCCAAACTGTCGAAATATTTCTTTCCTATCAAATGTCCACCACCGAGACTGTCGAAAGCTCGTTTACCTAACAGATTACTACCACCAAGGCTGTCAAACGTGCGTTTTCCAATTATGTTGCTACCACCAAGACTGTCAAACGTGCGTTTTCCAAGGATGTTACTTCCACCAAGGCTGTCAAAGGTGCGTTTCCCAATTAGATTGCTCCCACCAAGGTTATCAAAGGTGCGTTTTCTCATCAAATTGCTTCCACCAAGGCTGTCAAAGGGGCGTTTTCCAATTAGATTGCTCCCACCAAGGTTATCAAAGGTGCGTTTTCTCATCAAATTGCTTCCACCAAGGCTGTCAAAGGTGCGTTTTCCAATTAGATTGCTCCCACCAAGGTTATCAAAGGTGCGTTTTCTCATCAAATTGCTTCCACCAAGGCTGTCAAAGGTGCGTTTTCCAATTAGATTGCTCCCACCAAGGTTATCAAAGGTGCGTTTTCTCATCAAATTGCTTCCACCAAGGCTGTCAAAGGTGCGCTTTCCCATTAGATTACTGCCACCGAGATTATCAAAGTAGCTTTGACGTCGTACAGCCCTTGGCCATGATCGCGAATGTTCCGTTTTCGGTAGAAACAGTCGCTCCGAGCGCCGCAGGAGTTCTCGGACGATGTCGTCATAGGTGAACGTTGCGCCATCATTCCAGCCGCGCTTGTCCGTGTGTCGTCGTGAGGCGTCTTCGAGGCGTTTCTCGGCGCCCAGGCCTTGCCCGAATAGCGTGTCGATCGCTCTCTCTTCCTACAACACAGAAGCCAGTAAACCGTGTTAGATGTGATGCGTGCTAGTTACCTTTAGATTCACAATGTCCAGATTACACCACAACGTTCTAGACTAAACTAATTTCTATAACGATCTGATTGTATTACAGTCAAACACACGTGTTAGCGGGCAGAGCACTATTATAGAACGGACACCAGTCTGCCAATCAAGAATAATTTCGACGGGTTTCTTGAGTGGTGGTTATACAATGAAACGTCTATAGAACGGTTAGCCGTCTATGAAGAATAATTTTGAAAGTTTGCCCTTTTCCCCTGCGTCACCGCTTCATGCAAGTTTGGCTGTACAGTTATTTACACGAAAGAACAGTTTAGTAAACAGCTGTCAATTAAATGACATAATCGGAGACTTTTAAGCGTAAGTGCTGCATCACGTGACTATGTAATTTCGGCTGTTATGAGAAAATGGCCGACAAAACTGTCTCGCAGGGCCAATAACCGTACTTTATCATAATTGTGTTATCAATGTCGATTTACTATAGTGACCAATAAATAAAGGCTCTGACCGTTTGAGTGCAGTTTTAGTTGTACTGCTTGTACACATGCAGTCGCTGCATTCGTGTAACACCAGGGAGTATGACGAATGTTATTAGGAGGCACAGTAATTAAATGAAAAGCTTCGGCTCATCAGATTGTGGAATTCAATCGAGATCATCGAGTAGAGAGATGGTATCGCAAAATACAATTTATGAATTATCGATTCATGAGGGATGATGTGTATTTGAACTCAATTGTTTATAATGACTGTAATTAGTCAGCCATAATTGCCCAATACCGTTTCAGGGCCGTAGGCTGAAAAAGTTTTTGGGGGGGAGAAAAATTTAATGACTCAACTGTGTAATGATGAGCGACGGGCGCAGCTCTTGATCGACGTCCATGGTGTGGTAGAGGTGGGTCTGAGACAAGGTTTTCACGGATAAGTGACCAAAAATCAAGTTAGGGTCATTTACGATTATTAGCTATATAAGCATATTTTAGCTTATTTAAGCGTATATTAGCTATATAAGCGTATTTTAAAATTTGCTACAAAATCTAGGGGCAGCAGCCCCTCCCTTGCCCCCACAGGCTACGGCCCTTCGTTTACCACGTCTCAATTTGCTTGACACGTGCACAAAGAACGGCAAGCAGAATTTACGAACAACCAAAATAATTACGAACAACCAGATTAATTACGAATAACCAGATTAATTACGAACAACCAGATTAATTACGAACAACCAGATTTTACGAACAACCAGATTAATTACGAACAACCAGATTAATTACGAACAACCAGATTAATTACGAACAACCAGATTAATTACGAATAACCAGATTAATTACGAACAACCAGACAACCGACGATAGCGCGATGAAACAACTGTACAATTTTTCGGCCGGTGATCGTCCTATACTTGCATGTTTAATCCGTTCTGCGTGTTCTTCGGATTTATGCACTATACGTAGGATGTAGCGATAATAAGTAGGTGTTGTTATCCAGCGAGAGCAGGATTAAGTATGCCTACGTGGGCTAATTTGATGGAGACTTTCACTGAGAAAGACTCGGGGGTAAACACATGCTAAGTACACCATCAGATTAGGATCGCCCTAGCTGCGATGCATTTACGACCAATTTGATTACGGCCCGAGAATAGCCGCCGTACTAGCTTGGCCGCGGGAGCATACGTAGCTAGGTGATAGGTACATAATTGTGCACTTTTTGACAAAAGTATGAAAATGAGCCCATAGGTAGTTTAAGACATGTCCATTAAAAAGGATCTGCAATATCTATTGAAAAACCGTAAATAATAAATTAATAAACATTAGCATAATAATTGTTTGGCGTTCCGTTATATTTTTTTCGTGAGTAAGCGCGCATCGGGTACCCATCTCCATGATTATGGCATCTGGGCGCCATCTTAAATTTCAAAATGACCGCCATTAAAATCCATTATGGTAGCATACGCATAAGCTAGAAACTTTGTTTTAACAGCGTATCTTTACATCAAACCTGTAGACAGTTTGCAAACCCCATTTCGCGCATTACTTTGCATTAATCTGCTTCACGTCGTATGACAGTACATCGGTAGTAGGTGGGTGTAAACAAATACATAATAGCACATCGGTAGGTGCATGGGTGTAAACAAATACATCGTAACAGTACATTGGTAGTAGGTGGGTGTAAACAAATACATAATAGCACATCGGTAGGTGCATGGGTGTAAACAAATACATCGTAACAGTACATTGGTAGTAGGTGGGTGTAAACAAACAAACGCGGGAAAGTTCATCGATAGGTTAATGGTGATACCAAATAAATAATGGTGCGTCCTTTATTGATGATATATATATTTCATTTGTCTTCATAATATGGTTACTCATTACATCCTTCCGTAAAATAGAAAGATAATTAATTCAAAAAAGTAGATAGCCATTTTCCCGCAGTATGCATTGGTTTAGTTCAGTTACGCAAGTTTCATTCTGGAAATCCATGCCCGTAACATATAAATTATAGTACAATTATAGTAGTACAACGCTACATGCGCGCGAGAAAGAAAAAGAAGCAAGATCAAAACCGAGTGGTTCTGTCGATTGCCCTGACCCCTATATGACCTTTGAAGTGCTATGAATTACGATGATTTCATACGTTTTATAGATGCACCGATCTTTGCATAGTTACAAAAGTATGTAGACAATTCCGCGGTGCGGTCTACTCAGCTATATTGCTTAATTAAACAGACGAAAATTTACATTGTCCTGAATATTAGCCTAGTGCGAGCCGAAGGGCAATTACACATATTGCTTTTCGGAGAGCGCGCGCGGTGTAGTGTGTCACACCTGTCACGGTTGTTTACCGCTGACTCAATAGGTATAACCTCATGGTTGGATGCCTCGTAGATTCGAGGCTTATATTCATCCCACTAGCCTCCTTTGCCAGAGCCAAGGAAATTAAATCCTCGTGGGGGCGCTGTGCTAACAGAGCGTTCGGGTAGATAAAATACGATTGTGGCTTGCCACTGCAATTATCGAGGGTTAATCAACTTGACTATTGCTAGCCACGATGGACAATCATTCGGTTTTAGAGCGTCCTCAGTGCATCTGGAAAGAGCAGCCAACCGCCTGAGCTATTTGTTCACTGAAAAGACTTGAGTCGCAGTACCTCTATCATATATTTCTTCTCTGATGTGCCGATCGATCGATGCGATATCATTGTATCCTGGACCACGATCTTGCTTTTAAGCAAGCGAAACCCAATTATGCGGTTTTAGGTCTGCACGAAAAAATACGCAATGCGGAACAGTAAATGCGCAAATGTTTTCGAATCAGTAAGAAGCCGCGGCACTTGCACGCCCGCGCAAACAAAAAAACTAGTCTTTGATGTCATATGAGAATGTACGCACGAACCCATTCAGCCTGAACTACAAACACTCGTACTCGTAGACCGTGTTCGCTTGCATATGGCCATGACGTTGTGGGTGGTATGCCCATAAATTATTGGCAGCATATATCCAAATAAATCATATATGACAATGTAGCATATATAATATATGGCCATAATGTAAATCGATATACGAATGTGGTTGATCACAGAGCGGATTGCACCCAGGCAATATTACATAAAACGTGTTGGTATGGGGCGGAATTTCCGGCGGGTTCGGTTGGCTATAACCAGGTATTAACATCTGTATGTAAGTGCGTCGTCAGTTATGAAAATGAAATGAGCGTCGGCAAAATATAGCAGACGGAATCATAAATATGTAGATGATATCACGAGTGGATCCTGATGATATCTAATCTGCGATAGTGATATGTTCCATATACAAATAATCTATTAATACACATGCATTGCTATTTAGCTCCGAAATATACGGCATTGTATTTGATGCAGAGCATATCACGTGCCATGAAATAAAATAATAAAACAAAGATTATCCCGTGGAATTATCAATGTTGACCGCTGAGAGGTGCTGCCTCTAGCGTAAAACACTTTCTCACCACATATGATCGCAATTACCTTCGACGCGGCAAAATAAAGTTTGCACCAGTGGGCGGGGACAGTATATAGGGTCTGGCGTGAGGGATAATCGTAAAAACACACAGAATGTAATGAAAAAACTTTTTTTCTTGTCGGTATATGTCCGGTCGGTGAGGACAGTGACATTTGTTTACAGGGGGGTTTGCAAAAAAATATGCAATATTTCTCTATATGGTTTCTCTTGTGATTGATTATGTATAGATAAAACCGTTAGGGACAGGGATAATTAAATGTTTAATTGAGGTAAAAGTTTGAGTTCAACTTTAAGTAATTATGTTTAATTAATCACAGATAGAGTAAGACGTGTATATACTAGTATTTATTGTCAATTGTCCTTGGTCTCTTTGGCTTGCCACATCGCTTACTGTCGACTCTAGTAATAGTGTTATTGAGTTCATAAATAACAAAACAAGAGAGACTCCAATCTAAGACATCGGGCAATCTACGACCTCTGCCAGGAAGTAAACAAATCGCAGGGACACATGTCAGAGACATTACTATGGGGTTCCGCAGGGAATCTCTGAGTAAAGTACGCAGACGCAGATATTTTTCCATGCTCCACGGTCTTCGTGTTTTACTACATTAATTGCGTTTTACCAGACTTGATATCCTGCCATTTTTCCACCGGTTAAATTATTTTTTACCGCTCATCGTGGCTGTGTCGCAGGCGAGAGATAGTGATTACACTATAGGTAGCAGCACCGCTCAGCGGGCTACATTGATTTTCGGAGTGCAATGATGGTTTATGGGCCGTGACGAACCCTCATGTGTGCCAATTACAATGTGGTATTTTGTAGCCATATAACAGACCATAATATTTGCTGTAGGCACGAGTAAAGGTTGCTCGTAACTTGGGAGCAATTCCTTGATCACGCTATTCCTACTCTTTAGTTTATTATATGGATGAGAGACCTCCCATTACTGAACGAATGGAAGAATCGAGTTCCAAATCTTGGCACTAAAGTCTCACACTGTTAACTGCGTAACATTGTGTATTCAGTTTAAAGACTGCAATTCACGAATTTGACCGAAATTGAAAAATCTTTACAAAAGATTTTGAAATATTTTACCTCAAAGATTTTCAAAGGCAATAAATTGCCAGTGTGAATCTAGCATAACAGCATGTATTCAGTTTAAAGACTGCCATTCACGGACTTCGCATACATTATAAAGATTCTCCGTGCACGTCATTTAGCCAGTCATGCGAAATCCACTGATTCATGAACACCTCTTTGGGAATCTCAGACAAGCTCATACAGATACAGAAGCCATATATATCAGAGCTACTAATTGAAAGCGCAGCAATTCGAGCAGAGCTTATAGTTGTATATTCTATTTGAAGTCTTTACTGAAGGCATTCGTAAACAGTCTCTAGTCTGGCCAGACACTGCGGAAAAAAAACATCCAATATATGTGTGAGCAGCCAGAGCTATGGTCTGCGAAATAGCGTATATACGCATCTCGGCCGCAACACAAATACCATAACAGATACATAACAGCTAGCCGTATCACATAGAGACACGTGTAGGCGGCTTGTACGATCTCCCATGCAGTCTATGACACGACGACACGCGTTATATTAGCTTGATGTAAATTTTGGCGCTTTACTGGGTTACTCGCGCATGCTACGAATCGGGGCAAACGAAATCCTAATGTATCCATTAAATACTTGCACCTGCGCTTCTACGAACTTAAATTCGCCGCGAATATGTAACAAACACGCATACCTAGCCGTAGTCCGACCAGACAGCGAGATTCAGCGTTGATATACACACTATTTTGATGTATCGCCGTTTCTTGGAGCCTGTAAATAGCCTATGTTCATACTAAGGCTGTTATTCACAAGCACATGCACCTGCTAACATAATACGCATATCACACGCACGCAAACTACGAGCACACGCTCTCTCTCTCGCTTATACACACACGCGCGCACAAACACACGCACACACACATGCACACACACACACACACACACACACACACACACACACACACACACACACACACACACACACACACGACACGCGCGCGCGCGACACACACACACACACACACACACACACACACACACACACCACACACACACACACACACACACACACACACACACACACACACACACACACACACACACACACACACACACACACACACACACACACACACACACACAGGCGATAGAGATGGTGGAATGAGCGAGCATGGGAGAGAGAGAGCGCGCGCGAGAGAGAGGACGAGAGAGAGCGAGAGCAGCGAATGAGCGAGCGTTGGATTGAGCAAGGGAGGGAAGGGAAATGAGCGAGCGAGGGAATGAGCGATAGTGTATGCATGTTTGTGAGCGAGAGACAGAAAGAGCGACAGAGGAACAGCAAGCCAAGCGAGCGAGGAAAGGAAATAAAAGAGAGCAATCGTGGGCGTCAGCACCCACTGAACACGAATGAATCACAATCACGAAAGGGTTTGAATCAGGAATGGATTCCTAAAAAGACTACGATGGTAATTCGTGCAGGCATATATAAACATGCAATGTGAACGGACAAACAAGATTTGAATAGACATCGCATTGCAGAGATAAACAATCACATAGAAGAAATTAATACTGTGTAATATATTCTGTTAACTAGGCATGATCTGCATCGCGTGCGCGCATGCACACGAACACATACACGTCCTAGTGCTAATGTTGATGTACATAATGTACACTTATGTTAGGTGGTGGTTGCGAGATAGTACGCATACATCTAGCTTACCTTGCAATACCACGCTGAGGATCAGCGCCGTTGCTATGACGACCTGCATTTTGCTGGAGATTTCTTGCTTGAGATGACGGCTACGTATCTGACCAGATATTTTTTTTGCTCGTGGTCAACTGCAAACTAAACATGCGTGTTCACTCTACTCTTAAGTAGCCGGCGCGGTGACCAAAACCTGATTAGATTGACGTCATTAATAACAATACAACGAGCGTCTTTGCGGCGAGCGATCGACTCCGGTTTGATCGGCTCCAAATAAACGTCTCGTTTTCACGAATTCTCTGTCCTCTAGGTCCGGTCGTCGTGTCAATATAGTGCATTGATCGTGAGTCGGTGATCACAGCGATGACGCTGGCGTTCGTATCCATAATAGAAGGCGCCCGACAGCAATCAACGTACGAACAAAAAAAGCAGACGCGAAAAAGTCGCGTACGCAATATAATGCAGATTGAGCGATTTAGCGATATAAATGCGGGGAACAAAGCTCATTATCGATGAATGTAGACGGGAATAGTTTGCGATGCAAAAGTGCGCGGTGACGGTTTGAAATCGCAGCCATTTCATGCATGGCGTGCCTTCATTAGAGAGAAGGTGGGATCGGCGTGCCACGATGGGGGGTCGTTGATATCTTGCAGCTGCGCGGGAGACAGGGGCCGAGAGACAATGGATGATGGATGAATGGATGAATGGATGGATGGACGGACGGACGGACGGACGGACGGGTGGATGGATGGATGGATGGATGGATGGATGGATAGATGAATTGATAGACGAATATGGATAGATAAACATGGATGGATAGATAGATAGATAGATAGGTAGATAGATAGATAGATAGATAGATAGATAAATAGATAGATAGATAGATAGATAGATAAATAGAT